CTACTATTTCTGATCATCAATTGGAGCCTAGTTGAATAGGTATTAGGAAGGCATATTTGACAGAATAGTTCATGTTATTATGGACGTGCATGAATATGCACCTCTTATTCCAACTAAGTTCAAATTCCCAACCAAAAAGGATTAAAACAAGTATGAAGCTATATTTTGTAAAAATAAAAGTCAAATACCAAATAAACTCAAAGTTATATGCCTGGTGAACAAATCAGATTAGATCTGTTAGAAAATCACGGGTTCCAGATAAAATAAATATCAGTGACAAAATTAATAAGTATAAAATGTACATATTTACGAGAAAAAGTAAGGCCAGTAGGTTTTTCTCTCAAATAAAATACTTTCAAAATTATGCGTATAAAAATACACTACCATTCCTTTTAAATAAAAAAACTAGAATATATAATTGTCTTCATCATAATAAAAAGGAATAAATAGAAATTCATTTGATTGAGGACATTTAGATTCATGGTAGAGTAAAAATGCTTATATCATATGGACTAGGTCTGATAAGCCAAATGTAGGCCCAGGTTGTAAAAATCGAGGTGATAATTGATTTTCGAAATTTAAAACACTATGTGCAGGTTTAGTACGTACAATAAGGACTAGAAAACAGAATGAAATGGGCATTCTGCCCAAAAAGTAAGAAAGGCTATTAGGAAGAGCTTGCAAGAGTAGATGAAACCATGGTACCATGGCCTTGAAGACAGGCTAACTCATCTGGCCCGCAGGAGAGTAATGTATCGAGAAGATATGAACATAGCTTCTGACGAGAAGCATTGAATTCGATCAGAAAAGGCAGAATCTGTTGTGTTTGTGGTGAATTATGTACGTCGATTTGGCTTGCCAGCATGTCTGGATCGAACTCAAAATGGGCGCCAGACAGAAGACCCGTGCCTCGACCAAGACGACACAGCAAAATGGCTGGCTCATTTTTATCTTGGCTTAATCAGGAGAAGATATAAATAATAATAAAAGTGGAGCCGTGAAAATGAATGGAAAAAACCCATAATTATAGAAGTAGATAGACGAGAAATTGTAAAGATTGGCTAGTTAGTGATTTAAAAAAAAGTAAATCATACAATAAAATTAATAGAAAACAGGTGACTACAAATATATGGAAATATAAAGCCAACGAAGCGGCTCAGCTGCTTACTAGATGTCTGCAGAAATTAATGGGAAAAAGCTCTGATGAACAGCTTTTTGTTAAAGCGAACAATAAGGGCTTGGCAGTATCGAAAATTATCCCAATATCTGTTAATATATTCCTGGAAAATAATTAGCCTTTGGGCTTTATTGAGAATAATATCTCTCTACTGAGGAATAACTTTTCTGACGGCGACCATTTAGTCAAAGATATACAGACTGAGACATTTCCCATGTCCTAATTTTGTCGTCATGCCTTCTCTTAAAAAATATAAGCGAGTGATAAAAACAGTATTCAAAGAAACCCTCAGACTTTTTTTATTATGCCCTCTTTTAGAGAGAAATATGACCAATTATCGAGATCCGGCTGCTACAAGATTGTTTGCTCATGTGTTCGATGTTATGTTAGTGAGACATGTCGACCTATTCGGCAAAGATTTGTAGAACACAAAAATGCTTGCAAAGGTAGCTGGATCCAACGGTCAGAAGTGGCCGAACACATTGCAGAAACTGGACATGAAATAAAATGGTCACAAACTAGTAGGTTTGCTGATTACGGTACGTCTGTGTTTAAAAGAAAGATAAGAGGCTATTGAAATTAAT